CTACTTTTTAGAAAAAACATTCTTTTCTATGTGAAAAGCAGGAAAGTCTCCCACGTTTTGAACAAAATTTCCCTACAACTGGGGGGGCTCTAGAAGGCTGCAGCTCCTGATTGAGGAACCTACCCAGTTTTCCCACAAAGAAGAGGCTGAAGAAGAACCTGAGAAAAAGAATCATAATAAAACCACAGAATAAAATATCCTAAAAGCAGCCAGAACATCTTCTAGCCTTGTGAAAGATGGACTGAAAAGGTGGACTAAAAAAAACCCTAGCCTCACTTTCAATAAGCATATAGCTGTCATTTCTCATTTATAAATTATTTTATCTCCAAATAAATGGATATCTATAGAGAAATGCCTGAAAAAAAATCTAAATAAGTCAGCAGCCTCGTCATTATCCTCCTCCTCTTCCTCCTCCTCTTCATCATCTTCATCATCATCATGTAACTATATTGCCTATTCAGATAATGTTGACTGAAGAGGAAAATATAGTAGTCTGCCATGACTTGGGTTACCATGGCAAAGGCGTGAACAAAACAGAGATTTCCAACCTCACAGCCACCTCTTAAAGTCATATTTTATGACCCAACCGCAGGACTTACTAACACAAACTTTATGCTGTTCATCTGTGATTCTTCCTGTTTCCTATCTTTTTATCAACCAGAACGTTTGTACAAAGTATGGTGACAAGATAACATTGAAAACCAAGCCCTGACGTTATAATGTTCAGGGGCTGATACACATAAACAGAAGAAAGATAGTTATGGCTTAAGGTAACAATAAAACAGCTGTAGGTTGAATGTTCTCATTGGTCAGCACCTGTCCTTATTATGTCTTTATTATGTTGCTATCTCAAGATCTGGAGTTGAATTGACAATAACATTTGCCAGTTTGGGCTTTGGGGCTAAAGTTCTATTCTTTGATGTATTTAGCAGTTGCAACAATGGCTGGCAGTGAACACAACATGCAACATGCTGGTATTAGGTTGATGGTGTTGCAATACGAAGAATTAAAGTGCAGTGAGACAATTAATCAAAAGTCCTGATTCATTCAATTTCAGAATGCTCTTGTGTGAGACCAAGACCATGGATTATATTTACTATGGCCAAGATATTCATACAAAACATTACCCACAATGTAAAATAAAGTAGGATTATTTCTCTGTATTGTAGGTGCAAGTCATTTTAATGTGCAAGTCATATGTATAGTATGGATATATGTCACAGGGAACTAAAATGTGGCTGTAAGGACTGTCCAGGGTCTTCTTAAAAGCCTCCAGTGATGGAGCACCCACAACTTCTGAAGGAAAGCTATTCCACTGGTTGTTTTCATTGTCAGGAAATTTCTCCTTAGTTCCAGGTTGCTTCTCTCCTTGATTAGTTTCCATCCATTGCTTCTTGTCTTGCCTTCTGGTGCTTTGGAAAATAGGTTGACTCTCCCCTCTTCTTTGTGGCAGCCCTTCAGATATTGGAACACTGCTTGCTCGACTTGTTTGATAAAGGAGGGAACTACAATTACTTTTATAAAAGACTGGAAAACTTTTATGGACTTTCTGCTGAAAACTGATAAAATGAACAGGGGATTTGGGGATTTATTGATTAAAAGGATTGGTTTATGGGAAGAAGAAAACCACAGTATGCAGTATGCAGAGGATGGAGATGGTAATTACTGTGTAAGTAAATGCTGCAAAGAAGACTTGAAGTTGCTGCTTTAGACTTTTCTTTTCCTTTCTCTTGTTATCTTTCACTTTTTATTTTCTTTCTTCCAATACTTTTTCTTTTAAGCCTATTTAAAGCCTTCTAATAAGTGGTTCTTTAAAAAAGAAAGAAAGAATATTATCCTATCTTCTGATTCCAACCTCTCATCCTAATGTTTTACTTTTTCTTCTGGCAACTTTGAAAAGGAGAGTTCAATCACAAGAAACAGCACATCAAAATCTAGCCGCTTTCAGCTGATGCAATTGGCTCTCTCTAGCTCTATTACCACAGAAAATATGTCATCTCTCTCTTGCCAAACAATGTGTCACTGGCTGGGTATGCAGAGGCTTCAAATGGCACCCACTTTTGCTGTTCCTTGTTCATATCATGCAGCGGGGAAGCAGTCATCCATCTTCACCTTCAACTGATGAAGCCGGCAGTGCCTGGCATTGATTGATTTCATTTTGATTTTTACCAAGATGAATAAATTAGGTTGCATAATGATTGTAACCATAGCAGTATGGATATACCGCCTCTGGGGACTGACAGTGACAAATGACTAGGAGGTGTTGCTTTTGAAGGCATTCTTAGGCATCTGAAGGTTCTGAGAAGATTGGGAGAAAAATTTGTCCAGGAAAGCAGACAATCTCCAAAACATACATAATGTATTGTACATACATAATGTGCCTGTCAAACAATCTTGATGATTTAGGTAGAGGCCAGGAGAGTTAAGGAATTGCAAACAGGCCAGCTCTTGGATAAAGCAAAGGTTTAAGTTAATCTTCCCTCACGATTGATGGTGAATATACATGTCCAAGGATAATGCTGTAGGATCCAATCTGGGCCAATCACCAGAACCAGAAGTTTTGTCTTCTAAGCTTTGGACTCATGCTGGAGCCCATTCTCAGAGAACTTCTCTCTATCAGAGTCCCAAAGGTGCTTTTCCCCATATTTTGGACACAGAGGATTGCTGGTTTGAAAGAGAGGTTAAATAGGCCATCTGTGTCAACATTGAACAGCTCTCTCTCAACAGAGTGGGAGGAATATGATGCCATCTATCTCCAATGTACAACACAGTCCTTTCAACAGTTCCAAGAAAGCTCCACACCAATTTGCACCACTCAGGTGACCCTGATGACACAAGAAACCTCAAGGTGACCTTAATGACCTGCTAAAACAAGGGTCTTCAAACTTGGCAAGTTTAAGACTTGTGGACTTCAACTCCCAGAATTCCTGAGCTAATATGACTGGAGGAGGAATACTGGGAGTTGAAGTCCACAAGTCTTAAAGCTGTCAAGTTTGAAGACCCCTGTGCTAAAAGAATGCAAATGACCAGCTGTCTGCAAGGATATAAATCTTTCCATTCTCCACCATCCAGTCAGAGCTGAAGAAGGTTCTTGGATGAGAAGCAAAACGTCTTCAAAGAAAAACCAGAAAGTCTAGTTGCCTCTTGAAAAAAAAGCACCTTTGGGACAACCATGACCTGGATGACTGAGACTCTCCAAAGACATTTCTAGCAGGGTGTGTGCTTTGGGCTATTCTGTGTGTGGTATTTACATGGTGCCTGTATGTGTGTGGCTTTTCAAATCTTCCCTGATCAGAGCAGATGTGCTCTATCTTTACTCAAGACGCCCTTATGGTACTGTATTGGTTGGGAAACTTGTCAGCTGAACTCCAACACATCTGGAAAGAATTAACAGTATCCTGCTGTACAGTGAGGGCCTGTGGCAAAATTATAATAATTATACAATTAGGGCCTGTGGCAAAATAATAATAATACTACAATGTGGAGATTCCTGACCATCCAGTCCTCTTTCTTGCCATTCAGCATTCTGTTTCATCTCTCCCCTATTGGTCTTTCTGAAAACCTTTTAAAAAGAAATTTATACACCTCAAGATCCTGCTCCTCCACCCCGGTTATGTATGGGTTTGGATTACATCAATATTATTTTATTATTATTTTAATATTATAAAACTTCCATTGAGGACCTGTATACAGCACGAATCAAAAAGAGGGCTGTGAAAATATCTACAGACCCCTCACATCCTGCACATAAACTGTTTCAACTCCTTCCCTCAAAACGACGCTATGGGACACTGCACAGCAGAACAACTAAACACAAGGATAGTTTTTTTTCCTGAATGCCATCACTCTGCTAAACAACTAATTCCCACAACGCTGTCAAACTACTTAGTAAAACCGTATTACTATTATTCTTCTCATCCTTCCTATTACCTATCTCTTCCCACTTATGACTATAATCGTGTTGCTTGTATCTTTACAATTTATATTATTTTATTTGTTTCCTAGTATGATTTGACTATCAACCTATGACTATCACTAAGTGTTGTATCTTATTCTTGATGAATGTATTTTATTTTATTTTATGTACACTGAGAGCCTATGTACAAAAGACAAATTCCTTGTGTGTCCAATCACACTTGGCCAATAAAGAATTCTATTCTATTTCTATTTTTAGAAATAAATAGAATGTCTTGCACATAAACCACCTATGTATGCTTTGTGCTCCATACAGGTAATCCTTGACTTAAGACTGGTCTGGTGTCTGCACATATCCCTATGGTCACATGACCGTATTTCAGGTGCTTGGCATTGGCTCATCTTTACAACGGTCATGGGCCCATGATTTACAACGTTTTTTGTTAGTTTCTAGCCTTTCTGGCTGATTCCTGGCTAAAATTGCCCATAGAAATATATCAATTCATTTAATGTTATACCAGTCACTTAATAACTGCTGCATTCACTTAATAACTGCCACAAAAAAGTCATAAAATTGGGTTCATATGGGTCCCTTGATTTTAGACCATCATGATTAAAATAGAAATTATGGGCTCCATTTACAGTCAGAACCTGATGTCTACTTGTAAGTACTGAAAATAATACATGCCACATCTATATTAAGTCTGCAGTTTAATAGTTTTGGAAAAGATGAATTAAAGATGAAAGGGAAAGGGCAGGAAGGGAAGACCTAGAAATGCCAAATAAATAGCTCTGTCTTAGAGACAAAGTCAGTCATTTTGCTGTCAGTCTCCATCAATGTCACACCAAACTCCACTTCTAGCGACAGCTTTCTGTTTAAAAAGGAATGTGGCAGGTCACAAAAATGATGTTTCCTTGTGCCCTTAAAGGGACTTATTCTTTTGCCTTCTCAGAGACCTTTGACAATGTTTGAAAAATAGAAGCAAGCGCAGCCAGAGATCAGAGGAAAAGATGGTGATACTTGCAGAAGACGATAACCACAGATTCAGTCAGAAATATAGGGTAACAGTATAATTATTCTAAAGCAGGGGTGTCAAACTGGCCCGTGCGGTGCTTAGATCTGGCCTGTGACCTGGAGCCAGTGAAGGAGCGGCCCACGGTGCCTCTGCCAGCAAAAATGGAGCTAGGGAGGGTTGCCCATGGCCATCCTGAGCTCCGTTTTCGCTGGCAGAGGGTTGCAGGAGGCCGGGGAAGCCCCCAACATGAATGACATTGAGCTGGCCATGCCAACTCTGGCCACACACTCCGCCCCCAAGGACAAACACCACCCTGATCTGGCCCTCAATGAAATCAACTTTAACATCCCTGTTCTAAACGGAAGATAGAGTAACTCTACAACAACAGCTCTGTGTGTAGGTGCATTGGAGATACCTAATGGCTGAATCAAGAAGGAAGCACTACATCCTAAGATTCCCACTGCATATTTTCAAAATTGCAAATTTCTGGTCTCCCCTCCCCCCCAAAAAAATTAGGGATTCTTTTTTTATTTACTAAATTTCATTTGGCTTTCACCGAAATATGTCTTAAATAACTGGTTTTTCTCTTGCTGATAAATTTACAAAGCGATACAAAAATAGCTACTATTATTACAAAGGAATTAGTCAATCCACAACTAGAGTATATTTGGAAAGGGACGTCACAGGCCTGACTATGAACCTCTTGCATTTCATGGTCATTTTACCTTGACAATTCATATTAAAATACTTTTCTTCTGGGAAACAAATATATCAGCTAACTAAGAGCAGAAGACAAAGGAGACTTGACTTAATGAAAGTTGATGCCACAATACATCAGCTGGTGAGAGTGTTGTGTGGATTTTGGCAGCTACTAATAGCCTGCATTAAAATTAAAATTTAAAATTGTTAAATTTTTAAATTGCTTACTTTCCGGGCTTATGTGAGTCCCCTGGGAAACGCTACAGACGTCAGCCAATAAAATAATAATCAGCAAGCTATCACCACAGAGAAAACTTCCGGAGATATGTGCCAAAGCAGATACACCCAAAAATGATGGTAGAAAGAAATGGAAGGGGCAGGTGATAAAATTATGATTCAGATAGACTGGTAGCTGGGAGGAATGCTTGCATTAAAGATGAGGAATAGGCTGGGTGGACCTTTTTGCATTGTGGAACTAAAGTCATCTCCAACAGACATGTCCCAAAAGTGCTTTTTCAAAAGGCAACTGGACTATCTTTGTTTTTTCTCTTGAAGTTGTTTTGCTTCTCATCGAAGAAGCTTCTCCAGTCCGAACTGCCTTTTGAAAAAGCACCTTTGGAAAAACCATGACCTAGATGACCGAAAATCTCCATAGACATTCCCAGCGGACATAATAGCTAGCCATCAGAGTGGGTCACGAAGAGCAAACTTACCGCAGCATCTGAGATGGAGACTCGGTGGGACTCTATTGTCGGCCTCCTCCCTGTTCGTGGTGAAATATGCGTGGAGGGTCCCGTGGCATATGGACCAAAATCTGGAAGATCAGAGGAACTCAAGTAATTTCCAGTAGTCTTTTCTTGAAGGGAATACTTCCTGCCAGTCAAAATGGGCCTTTTGGGGATCTTCTTTGGCTCATGCAACTCATTGGTGCCATCCAGTTCTTCAGAGGTGCCTGAATCAACATTGACCCCATTCCTTTGGTTGTCTTCAGCTGTGCAATTAGATAACAGAAGGACACTTTCTTCTGTTGCTTTCTGACTGTTTGGTGTAATTCCATTGGGACCAACAGTTACACTGATGGCAGCTACTCTTTCGGCAAGCTCAATCTGAGCATCTTTGCTGAGCCACATGTCTGTGGCTTGGCCAACAATCTCAGCTGTAGACTCATCCATAGCTGAATCCTGGCTTTTTATGTTATTAGATGATAGTACGAGCCATCAGGACTGAAAAGATTTTTTGAAGAGTCCAAGGTGGGGATCTTGGCCACATGGATCTCTGGAAAGAACTGTAATAAAGAACAGAAGCAAAAAGGAAGCCATTACTTTTAAAGCCAGGATAGCAGGGGTAGCAAATTGGTGCCTTCCACATATTTTTGTACACAACTTTCATAAACCGTTGTCTACAGGTATTCCGTCTAAAATTCATGGGGGAGGTGGAGTCCCAAACATTTGGAGGTGGCTAAGTAGTCCACTGCTGTAACAGTATATTGTACTTCTTCATTTTCAATTCCTCACCCCCAACCATCTTGATCTACTTGTTGTAACCTGTCTCATAAGTACATTACTAACTCAGCTTTTGTCCTTCTGGTGCTAACATATATCTATCTTCATTAGTTGGACTATCAGAATGGGGCAGAAAAGTTTACTCTTTGGGGTATCTTAAAAAGCCACAAGTGCTGTAGCTTTTTTTCTACAGGAGCCGTATTATCCCCATAATCAACTTGATTGCCTGCCCTTACAAATCATGAAGGCACAAGACAGTGTACAGCCATTTTACATACTGCAGATGTTAAGATTCAGGTACAATCAATCATCTGTTCAGTTAATGTGGTTGCTGAGGACATATTTTGCCAGAAGGAGAAAAGATAACTTTTAAAAGCTGTATGAAGCCATAGAAATGCTGGAAAGAAAAAAAAAACCCACCTCTAATAGAACATATACAGGTTGAGTTAACCCTTCAGCGGCAAGTAAGTAAGGAGGCAAGTGGCTTTGAAAAGAGATGCTTTAAAATGGCAATTGGTGGGAGGTGAATGAATTGGTTTGCTTTAAGGGCTGAGGCTCTTCACCTGACATGATTGTAGGAGGAGAAGGCTATCAGGAGCAGAAGGCTGTTTCCCCTTTTCTTCTCTTTGTAAAGACCAAATCACTGGCTATGCCTCAGGAATTAGCTGTATCCTTCCCATCTTTCCTTCTGCTTCATAGGCACCTAGCCAGGAACTGTTCTATCAGCAGTTGATAGAACATTCCAATAAAGGAGAATATTTGTAGCTCAGGGTTGAAATCAGGGGTCCTTGGTGCTCTCTGAGCTTGGTTGTTTTCTTGCAGTCGTCTCATTAACAAACTAGTTAACATCAACAGTGCTGACCATTGTTCATCAAACGTGCAAGAAAACAACTAAACTCAGAAAGGACCAAGGAGCCCTCATTTCATATAACAATTGCAGGTACTGGGGCTGGTCTAAACGCTTGTAGCTTCCCAATCCTGCCCATTTGAACATGTAGAAATAAGAGTTAGAAGAACTGGGATGAGGCACCATCTTGTCCCACATCCTAGGTAGTGGTGCTATTCTACCGGTTCGGCCCGGTTCTGGCATCCAGCTGAGACCAAACCGGTTCTCTCTGAGAGGCTGCTGTTGGGCCCACCTGCCCGCCTGGGCTCCCTAACCTTTCTGTCCTGCTTTTGAAGCGCAGCTGCTTTGCGCGGCACAGCAGATTGCCGCGTGTCAGCTGTTGAAGCTACAGGGAGAGTGCAGGATTGCAGGAGGTGAGTAGGAAAGCCTCTGCACATGCGCAAAGTGTGCGTTTGGCGTGTGCATGTGTGCCCACCAAGCCACGCCCGCTGAACCGGTGGTAAACCACAGAGGTGGTATTCAGCAGGTTCTGACCAGTTCTGGAGAACCAGTAGCAGAAATTTTGAGTAGTTCAGAGAACCGGCAAATACCACCTCTGACTGGCGATTTTACAGTATCCTTCCCCTGCCACGTCCACCAAGCCATGCCCCCAGAACTGGTAGTAAGAAAATTTGAATCCCACCACTGATTCTATGGCTGGTCTCTCATTTTGGACAGACAAAATGATCGCTCCAGACACAACAAATGTTCCGGTGCTGGTCTGCTGAAATTCTGCACAAGAAATAGCTAATGTAAGGTGTGTGTGGGAGGGGTGTGTGTGGTGTTTTTTTTTGCGGGGGGAGGAGGTGTTCCCTGCCAAGTCAACAACAATCTCAGGTAGCTGGCTGTCTATTCATTTGGAATTGAAATGGCACCATTCGAAAACACTTCTTTAAGTAGGATGGGATGAGATGCAGAAAATCAGGGTAGCTGCTGAAAACAGAAGGCACGAACAAAAATGAAGAACAGATGAATAAGAGTGGATTTATTGGTTCACACTTTGTGGGTAAGTAGCCTAATGAGATAGAACATTAAAACAGCATCTCTAGCAAGCTCTCTATCTCCCTAGGTGAAAAAAAAATCACAGTACAATTCTCTACACAACTGGGAATGGAAACTTTCTACTCCTACAAGGAAGGCAGCATTGTCATAGGACAAGGCAACACAGCAGCTGACTTGCTGCAAATCATCCCCTTCATTTGCAAAAATACTTTAAGCTGTCTCTAAGGATAGCACAGAGGTACAAGAGAGAACCATTTCTCAACTTCTGATGTCATGTTAATGGTAATAGCAGTGATAGCAATGTTCCAATATCTAAGGCACGGGTGTCAAACTCGTGGCGTCACGTTGCTGTCACGTGACATTTCACAACATTTTTTTCCCTTCACAGAGCTGGGATGGGCTTGGCCTGCACGGGACACATCTGGCCCACAGCCTGCCAGTTTGACATCCCTGATAAGGGGCTGCCACAAAGAAGAGGGGAGTCAACCTATTCTTCAAAGAGCCAGAAGACAGGATAAGAAGCAATGGATAGAAACTATTCAAGGAGAGATCCAATCTAGAACCAAGGAGACATTTCCTAACAGAACGATTAATCAGTGGAACGATTTGCCTCCAAGAAGTTGTGAATGCTCCAACACTGGAGGTTCTTAAGAAGAGATTGGACAACCATTTGTCTGAAGCGGTGTAGGGTTTCTGTCTAGGCAGGGGGTTGGACTAGAAGATCTCTAAGGTCCCTTTAAACTCTGTTTTTCTGTTATTCTGTCCTGCTCACTATGGAAGCCACTTTTGGAACAGGCAACTTTCTTTCACCAGCAATTATTTCATGAATGTATCCATAATGCCAACATTTCAAATCTGCATATTGGGTCCTCAAAGTTGCCTACAGGTAATCCTTGATGTACCATCACTTGTTTAATGACCGTCCGAAGTTACAACAATGCTGGAAAAAACCTTATAACTGGTCCTTACACCAGAGGTGGTATTCAGCCAGTTCTGACAGGTTCTGCAGAGGAAATTTTGAATAGTTTGGAGAACCGGCAAATCCCACCTCTGATTGCCCGCCCCATCTATTCTCTGCCTCCCGAGTCCCAGCTGATCGGCTGGGTCTTGTTTGGTTGCCCTGCACAGGAGAATGGAGCTGGAAAGCAGGTTAAGGGGGGCGAGGGAATGGGGATTTCGCAGTAATATATATATATATATATATATATATATATATATATATCTGCATCAGCAAGATTATAACACATAGGACGGTTTGGTTATATATATATATATCTGCATCAGCAAGATTATAACACATAGGACGGTTTGGTTTGTACGAATGTTTGAATAGAATAGAATAACAGAGTTGGAAGGGACCTTGGAGGTCTTCTAGTCCAACCCTCTGCCTAGGCAGGAAACCCTACACCACTTCAGACAAATGGTTATCCAACATCTTTTTAAAAACTTCCAGTGTTGGAGCATTCACAACTTCTGGAGGCAAATTGTTCCACCTAACTATCCACCTAACTAACTATCAGGAAATTTCTCCTTAGTTCTAAGTTGCTTCTCTCCTTGATTAGTTTCCACCCATTGCTTCTTGTCCTGCCCTCAGGTGCTTTGGAGAATAGCTTGACTCCCTCTTCTTTGTAGCAGCCCATGAGATATTGGAACACCGCTATCATGTCTCCTCTAGTCCTTCTTTTCATTAGACTAGACATACCCAGTTCCTGCAACCGTTCTTCATATGTTTTAGCCTCCAGTCCCCTAATCCTCTTTGTTGCTCTTCCCTGCACTCTTTCTAGAGTCTCAACATCTTTGTGATTTGTCTATTTACTTTTAGGGTAGCCTCTCTTAGTTCTCTGTCTCCTTCCCAAACAGACCAGACAGGAAACATAACCAGATGAGCTATTTCCACTTTATTGTATGGCTACATTAACAGAATCTTGCAAGTCTGAAAGTATATGTCCCCCACCTCTCCTTTACAACTCAAATATATTAAGGAGGGTCCCCTTCTAAGCCTCTTGCCCCACCCAATACCCAGCTGTAGGCTATGCCCTCTCTTATCTGACAGTTCCCTTGGTCCAATCTTCTCCCCCTACCCCGTCTCCTGAGGCCATTCCCACATACCATTACATAATGATGGAGAAATTAAGTTGCAAACAAATAATGATGCTTTTGAAATTTTTGTTATGTGACCTTTGCCTCCAAGTTTGTGCCATTAAAATACCTTTCCAAAGTGAAGCCCACAGCATCAGAAACCAGCTACTATACTAACAGAATGGTCCATAAATATCTCTGCTGTTCCATCAGGCAGTGCTAATCTTTCCAAGGTATGTTATGAAATGTGAAAACATGCATCTAAGGGGGGCGGAATCCCACAAAAAAGCTACGGGTTAGGTCATTCCCCCAATAATCAAGCAATGAGTACCAACAGAAACAATGTCAAAATCAGGTCTTCCTTTCCTTGTCTGTTGCAATGGCTACCCTTTGGAACAGCATTCCACCCAAGAGATCTGCATGGCTTCCATCCTAATGATTTTTTTTTTAAAAAAAACTTTGATCACCTGGCAGTTCCCCACAAATCTTGTGAGAAGGTGGATGTTGACTATCGGTGGGTTTCAAAAAAAATTCCTAACAGTTTGGAGAGCTCGCTGATGTTAGTTTATCAACGAATTCACTATAATATTATGACCAATACAAGATATTACAGTATTGTTCATATTATTGTATCAATTCATTGATAAAACAGTGTCTTCTGAGAGTGATAAAATATAAGGTTTTTTGTTTTTTCCCTTTCCCTTTTTAGTTTGTATTCCTTGTTTGTATTTTTAACTTTTTAAAGATCCTTTTCTTCTTTAAGATTAAATATTTTTGTTAAAATATCCAATAAAAGACAAGGAAGGAAGGGAGGAA